TGCTTGGGCAGTTTCTTTTGTCTAGTAATTAGAGATGAGTAGTGATAATCAAAGCATCGAATGTATATTACGATTTTAAAGTAGCTTTTTAAATTTTTGAATGCTAAAATAGAGAAATACTTTACGAATGCTTGCTATGTACAGAATAAAAATAATCTATTAGAGACTTTACAGATTAAAGAGTAACTCTGAAAAGTCGGTTAATTTACTTCAGATTATAGAAAGAACTGGAACTAAATGTATGTGAAAAATGCTTTGGAATCTAAACTGTTATACCTCTCTGTTAGTAACTGCAAAAATTGTGTTATCTTTACAGAATTCTTAACCACCACAGCCAAGGAAAGATATGATGTCAGACAAGTGGACATAACTCCTTTAGAGCAAAGGAAATTAACTTTTGATACCCATGCACTGGTTCAAGACTTGAAAACTCATGGTGAGAAAACTGGTTATCTTGAAGATTAACTATACTTGTAAAATAACGGGAGTCCTTGTGTGATGCTATGGGCTAATGCGTCAGACTGCAAGGTCAGTGGTTCAAACTCACCAGCTGCTCCTTGGAAACCGTATACAGGGTCGCTCTGGGTCGGAATTGACTCTATGACACTTAACAACAATAACAACGTAGAATAATGGAGTCCTGGTGTGGCACTGTAGGAGTCCTGGTGTGGCACTGTAGGATAAGCCCTGGCCACAAGGTCTGTTTGAACTGCAAGATCAGTGGTTCAAACTCACCAGCTGCTCCTCAGAAACCTCATACAGGGTCGCAGTGAGTAGGGACTGACTTGACAGCACTTAACAACATTATGTGTACACTGAAGAAAGTTATTCTGCCTATTCTAAGTATATGTACTTTTTTTTAAAATACAATTATTTGTTACCTACAGGATTTGACAAAGCGCAAGCAGAAACAATTGTATCGGCCTTAAGCAGTTTATCAAATATCAGCCTGGACACTATCTACAAGGAAATGGTCACACAGGCTCAACAGGTAACATATTAGTTTTTTTTCAATTCTGATCCTGTCGCTGGACAGGTTTTTTTATAACCACATCTATAACCACCCACCTGTCTCCTTGCTGTGCTCTTAAAGGGGCTGGAAAAAAATTGTAAACCTTTAGTAAAGAGAGAAAGTTGGGAGTTAGAATATCAACATTATAGTAATGCAATGGATTTTTGGAAAATCTTTAATTTTGTAAAATTACATCATTTGAGTTACGAGACAGTAGTAAACTGCTAGTGTAACAACTCCTTTCCCGTAGAACCCACATGGTAAAAAGAGCTAAACTCTCCCGTATAATAAATAGTCCTACTGCAGTCATGTTTATGTTCTGGGTACATACATTTCATATTTAAAAAACTGAAAGGGACTTTGCAGACTTACTTGGCTGGAAGAGATGTCATAAATTAGGCTTTATTTGACCTAATATGTAAATCCTCAAGTTCTTATTTAATGCCATTTACTAAGCACTTAAGATATAAGAAGCATAGTACTGGGTATTTCCCATATATTCTTTTTTAACCCTGAGAAGTAAATAGGTTTATTCTGTTCTGCCACTCAGGAAAGTGAGGCTCAGGTTGAATTATTTGTAAGAGTTGTCATAGTCATGTGCTTGGATTCAAACTCTAGAGCTTTCTACTAAGCCGCTATTGTTAAACCTTTCCTTTTCTTCATTATGCCATATGATGCCAATTTTAAAGTTCAGAATTAAAATACACATTAGAACAAAAAGCACTGTTTATATGAAGGATCGAATAAGCTAAGTAGGGCTTACCTATGGGATAAAAATTCATAGTTCCTTAATCCTAAATTCACCTCTTTTCTTCCTCTGATTTACTTCTTAAATTATAACTTTTCAAAGTGAGGCTTTCTTCCTCAGGTAAATAATTAATAGCAGAAATTATTGTTTCATACATATAAAATGACAGTCTCACATACATTTTCATTACTTTTTATTTTTTATTAAAATCTCAGATTAGAGTCTTAGAATTGAAAGCATTAAACACCTAGATTGAACTTACTTTAAATTTACATATTTATTTTAATTTATTCAGGATCATAGCAGAATACCAAATTCAGTATAATTAACTATCTCAAAGCTATCCTGAGTGAACTATAAAGAGCTAAAGAAATTTTCAATAATGTCATCTACTCTTAATTTTTAAGTTTTCCTAAAATACCCTGGAGTCACAATAGGTAAGCTTTAGTTCAATGGTTCAAACAACCAGCAAGAGAAAAAACAGAAAATGTACTTCTGTAAAGATTGTTGTTAAGTGCCATCAAGTCAGTTCTGACCCATAGCGACCCTGAACAGGGTTTCCAAGGCTGTAAATCTTTACGGAAACAGAAAGCCTCATCTTCCCCTGTGGAGCAGCTGGTAGTTTCGAACTGCTGACCTTGCAGTTCCCTCTGAGGCAGTTCTACTCTGTTCCATAGGGTACAGTGAAGGAGCCCTGGTGGCACTGAAGGATAAGCACTGGACGACCAACCATAAGGTTGGAAACCCACCAGCCCCTTTGTTTCTGTAAATATTGTAACCTTCTGCTCCTGCAAAAGATTTAAAGCTTCAGAAACTACAAGGTCACCATGAATTGGACCCAACTCGACGGCAGTTAACATACAGGGTTGCTATGAGTTGACTCATGGGCAGTGAGTGTGGGTTTTTTTGCTATGTTGTTAGTGTTAAGTGCCGACAAGTCAATTCCAACTCATAGTGACACTTTATAGGGTCCTTATCCTGGAGCGCCCCACACAAGGACTCCTTTTTGGTGTACGCTGTGAAGTCAAAATCCACAGCACACAAAAACATAAGAAATGTAAGTGGTGAATTAAAACGGTATTTTGAGGAATTTTTATGACTTCCAGGCCCATTTAATCTTACATCCAGAATGTAGGATTGGATGTGATGGTGGTGTTAAATGCCACTGAGCCCATTACGACTCATAGCAACCCTATACAGGGTTTCTGAGGAGCAGCTCGTGGGTTTGAACTGCCAGCCTTGTGGTCCCCAGTCCAATGCTGATCCTACAGCACCACACCAGGAGTCCAGATTTGCTATAAGAATATTAATATTAAACCATTGACTTTTTAAATTACTAAATAGTGTGTGAAAATAACATCTTACCCCATCTTTGAGACTAACCCTATTACTAACCCCACTTGTACATTAGAACAAGGCACAAACACAGCCTGAAAGACAGTGCTGAGACACACAAGTCACATCCTTGTTCATTTCAGAAAAGACCATCCTAACAAGTATAAGAAGGTAACCACAATCTCAAGAAACAAGTCTATAGGTCTACAGGTCTGGTAGTCTATATCTATAAAGAGTTATAACCTCAACTGCCCTGAAAGCAGAACTTAGATGTGCCCTGGACAGAATGGGAGAAAGTTGCAGAACAAAAGGCAAATTTGTTTTTAAAAAAAAGGCAAACTAACTATACCATGTGCGACCACAGGACTCCCTTAAGACTGTCACCCTGAACCATTCTAAACCTTGAACCAAACACCCAAGGTCACATTTAAGCAGAAAAGCATAGTGATAAACTAAATAAAAGGATATTGCTAGCTGCAAGGTTAGCAGTTCGAATCTACCAGCCATTCATTCCTCAGGAGAAAGCGGCTTTCTGCTCTTGTAAAGATTTGCTATGAGTTGGAATTGACTCAATAGCCGGGGGTTTGGGTTTGATTGTTGTTGTTACGTGTCCAAAGGTCACCATTTAATCCATAGCAAAGATGAGAGGATCCGGGCTTCTGGAAATGGACCCATCAGAACACAGAATGTTGACACAGTATGAAGAGTCTATAATGTCATTGATAAATTTGTGTGGAAATTGTCATATGGGAACCTAACTTGCTTCATAAGCTTTCACCAAAAATACAATATAAAATTTTTTTGAGGGGGTGGGGAGGTACATCCTAAATCATAGCCTCGCAACCTGAGAGTTTGATTATATTCTTAATTTGCTTGTTGTTGTTGTTGTTGTTAAGTGCCGTCGAGTCGGTTCCGACCCATAGCGACCCTGTACAGGGTTTCTGAGGGTGTAAATCCTTACGGGAGTAGAAAGCCTCATCTTTCTCCTGCGGAGTGGCTGGTAGTTTCGAACCTGCTGACCTTAAGGTTCGCAGCCCGATTCGTAACCACTACGCTACCAGAGCTCCTTTACTTGTAGTCAATTATATTTATATTACCTGGTGGCTCTACAATAGTTACTATTTAGTTTTCCATTTTAAAATGTTAAAGATGGGTACCTAGACTTTTTAGTAGCTTTTTAACCCATCAACTGTATTTCATGGAGAGCCGGGGATTGTAGAGTCTGTTGGGTCATGATATATAAAATCCCTTGTTCTTGAAATTACATTTTCACCTCTTAGCTGTATTTTCGGTAATACAGTGCGACTTGGGAGCTCAACAATTTTACCTCTTTCCTATCGCTTGTGTTTTAATAGGAGGTATTTGAGTTTTCTTTCTGATACGGTTCTACCTTATACAGATTATGACTTTTATAGAATTTACTGTAAAAATTCAGTATATTTAGTGTCCTATAAATTCCTTAAAATGGTAACTTGGGGGAAAAGACCAATTACTAGAGGCTACTTCTAAATGATTTCTGAAGCAATTCTTAGGAGTATTTCAAGCAGAACTGAATAAAAGGAAATTATTTCCCTCCCCAATAATGGGTGATGGTTAAGGAGAATTCTTAAGAATCAGGGATTGGAGTCCCGTTGTGGCACCATAGGATAAGCACTGACTGGACTGCAAGGTTACCAGTTCACACCTACTGCCAGTTCTATCCTTCAGGGTCACTGGGCGTCAGAATTGACTTCACAGCACTTGTTTGGCTTTTTGAGGGGGTTAGCCCTACTAGTATTTCAATATTTTAGTGTGTCTTAATTCTCACCAATCATCCTTATCCCTTCCAGTATTCTGAAATTTTCCCATGGTAGAAAAGCCCTCAAAAGTAAACTCATAAAGAATGAAGAAAGAAAAGTGAAGCATTTTATTGGGATTCTTTTCATAAAAAGACACACGTTTATTTTTCTTCCTTGAATCTCGTACTGTCTTTTATTTTGGTATTCCATATATAGGTTTGATAAGTTTTTATCTTAGTCAAGTAATATTATACTTAGTTACTTGTTAAATTTCATGAAAACAATGATTCTCTAAAGGGACGGCATTCCTCCCATCACTAATTCTTTTCATTTTGTTTTATAGGAAATAACAGTACAACAGCTAATGGCTCATTTGGACTCTATAAGGAAAGACATGGTCATCCTAGAGAAAAGTGAATTTGCAAATCTCAGAGCAGAGAATGAGGTAACACAAGTTTTAGATTATTACTTAGGAAGTAACTGATTTCACAGGTATCCTACTTGGTAAATAGTTGGTTGTTACATGGTATTGCATCAGGTTCCTACTCAGCAACCCTGTATAGAATTTCCAGTGAGCAGCTGATGGGTTTGAACTGCTGACCTTGATTGAAGTTAGCAGCCCAATACTTATCGTACAGTTGTGGAATTAGGCAAAATAGCAAGTGTATATGATTATGAGCAAATTTTTTAAGTGAATTGTTATTTAACCACATCTAATGGTTATCTTGCAGTCTGGTATGGCACCATAGTATAAGCACTCAACTTGAGGTATAGTTTGAACGACAAAGTTAGCAGTTCAAACTCACCAGCTGCTCCTTGGAAACACTATATACAGGGTCGCTATGAGTAGGGAACTGACTGGATGGCTCTTAACAATTGTTATCACTGGAGGTAGGTGAGGCTTTCCTCTCAAGGTTTATTTACAGCCTCCAAAACCCTATACAGGGTCTTCTATGAGTTGGTACCAACTTAACGTAACAGTCAGATAAAAGATTTTATGTTATACAAAATTTCTCCTATACTGTATAATGTTCTCAGAACTAAAAGTATGTGGCATTCTAAATTATCTACATCACTCAAGAAACATGTTTTATGTTTCTAAAATTAGAACTTTTTAGTTTGGAGTTGTTTGTTTTTTTCCTTCATCAAATTCTGCATTAGAAATCCAAAAGTTGTACAAATTTCACTAGTCTAGCACTTAAGAAATTCTATATCTGTCCTACTGTATAGACTTTTCATGTTAATTGTGATCTTTCTTGATACCTAGAAAATGAAAATTGAATTAGAACAAGTTAAACAGCAACTAATAGTAAGTAAAAATTTTTGCCTATCTCAGAATATTTTCTTAATTTCAGAAATAATCATGTAATTTTTTCACTGTTTTTGTTTCTTTAAAGAATGAAACAAGTCGAATCAGAGCAGATAATAAACTGGATATCAACCTAGAAAGGAGCAGAGTAACAGATATGGTAATGTGCTCTTGTACATACTGTCTTAGTTATGTTTAAATTCCTCAAATTTAGTCTTTATCTCACACATATGTTTTAGTTTACAGATCAAGAAAAGAAACTTATGGAAGTCACCACAGAATTTACCCAAAAGGTAAGCTATTAAAATTTCTCTGTTGAACCGCTCTTTGCCTTGTGTGCATAAATGCATTTATCTTTTTAAAGTGTGCAGCTTAGAAGTTCTCATACCTGTTTATAGTCAACACTCTTGAAAAGCTGTATTTTTTGTTCATGATATAATTTAGTTATTTATTCTTATTACAGGATAACCAAACAAAAAGTGTAATATCAGAGACCAGTAATAAAATTGACATTGAAATTGCTTCCTTAAAAACGCTGATGGAATCTAACAAACTTGAGACAATTCGTTATCTTGCAGGTAAGACTTTGTCAGAGAATCTTAAAATTAAGATACAAGTTTTAACAAGCAACTTTACAGTTCAGAAATATAAAAAGATTACTTCTTAAAATAACGTTAGGTGCCACTGAGTTGATGGTAACTTTTAATAACCCCTATGCACAACAGAAGGACCTCTAGTTACAAATCGGGCTGTGAACTGCCAGGTCAGCAGTTCAGAACTACCAGCTGTTTCATGGGAGAAAGTTGAGGCTTTCTGCTCCCAGAAAGATTTACAGCCTCGGAAACACTGTACAAAAGTCGCTATGAGTTGGAACCGACTCTATGGCACAAAACCACCAACCACCATGCACAACAGAGTCCTGGTGTGGCACTGTGGGCTAATGAATTAGACTGCAAGGTCGGTGGTTCAAGCTCACCAGCTGCTTCTTGGAAACCCTATACAGGGTCCCTAAGATCAAAACCGACTCGATGGCACTTAACAACAACAGAAAGAAACACTGCCTAGTTCTAAACCATGCTCAGAATTGTCATGTCAGTCTGTCTAGATGGGGGTGTTCTGTTTTTTACTGACCACTTTTTCCAAGACAGATTTATTTGTTCTGGCAGCACATAGTTACTTCCAGTATTCCTTATTCATTGTCCAGTTTTTTCTATGGTTTGGGTCAGGCAAACCTTAGTCCTCAAATTGAAAAGCCATAACTAGCAAAGGATAAAAAAAGAACCACCTTCTAACTTGAAGCCAATGCATTGAACACAGCTACTAATTAAACATCCATCATATATTGAACTTGTTGAATTACCATACAACATGACCCAATTATAGGGCTCCAAAGACAGAAAGGAAGAATGCTGTATATAAAAATTATGTACTTATTAATTTTATCATATTGTACAGTCTACTTTACAACTTAAGTAACATTTCTTGAACGTTCCTTGAACGTTCTTTCCACATCAATATTTACACATAGATAACTTCATCTAATCCTATACAAATAGACCTGTGGTACAGTGGGTTACAAGCTGGGCTTTTAACCACAAGGTCAGCAGTTCAAATCCACCAACTGCTCCATGGGAGAACAATCTGGACTCCTGATGTGGCACTTTAAGCTCAGCACTGGACTACAGACCACGAGGCAGGAAGTTCAGCTCTACCAGCTATTCCTTGAAAACCCTATACAGGGGTCGCTAGGAGTTGGAACTAACTCATTGGTGCACACAACCCCCCCTACACTTATAGACCTTCTATTCCAAATTTTCATACTTGGTGTGTTTGGGCAAGTGCACATAAAAATACAAAGGAGTTTCGGAAAGTTTCACTGTCTTTTAATTCAGTTTATCTGTAAACTTTTTGAAGCTCCCTGTGCTAATCATAATCAGTAAGATGGAACACGTGGCTGATACATTCCCGCCTCCTTTTCAATGGCCTTTTTTTTTTTTTAATTGATTTAAAATATTGGGCTTCTGCTAAAGATTTATTTTACATAAGCATTCTAAGGGTTTGGAAAATCCCTACTGTAGCATCTCTGGGTAAAGAGCCCTTTAGTCAATGCTCAGGGAAATTACAAAATAGCAAACTTTAGAATGTTCATTCCCACTTTCAAAATAGATCCCAAAGGAACCTTGGCTAGGGCAGGCTTCAAATGCTACTCAGCTTCTTCCTCCAGAGTATTAACCTAATCCTTTATCACTGTCTTCCAACTAAGAATAAAATCGCCAGAAAGCTTTCTTTAAATAGTAGGCAAGGACTCCTGCTGTGGCGCTGTGGGTTAATGCACCAGACTGCAAAGCCATTTGAACTACAAGGTTGGCAGTTCAAGCTCACCAGCAGCTCCTTGGAAACCCTATACAGGGTCACTATCGGTCAGAACTGACTCGACAGCACCACTCAATAACAACATGCAAGGCAAACTCTAGTGGATTGGGTGGCAGAGACAAAAGAGATTACCAGTTCATTGTCCTTCTACTAAATTATTCCCACTGAGTATTTGCATCTAATAGTACTGAAGGTATGTGTTACTGCGGAGCAACTAGATGGGTGAGCTTGAACTGCAGGGTTGGTGGCTCAAGTGCACCAGCCGCTCCTTGGAAACCCCATCCAGGATCACTAGGGGTTCGGAACCTACTCAACGGCACTTAAGCACAAGGAGCGGCAATACTTAACTGAGAGTAAATCAAACAAACACAAGATTGGTGTGCTTACCACAAGGTTCTTAATGTTGCTTAGTGCTGTCGATTCGGACCCATAATGACCTGTACAGAGTGTCCGTGAGCTTGAATTGCTGACTTTGCAGTCCATTGCATTAACCCACAGGGCCACACTAAAATCCACACACCCAGATGTAGAGTTAATGTCATTAGATGCAGGGCCTTGATGGCGGACTAGGTAGATAGACTTTGCAGACCTCTGCCAGTAAAAATACAGAATGCTGTATGAAATAGG